AGTTTATATAATGTAACAGGTAGCAGAACCGCAGTAATTTGCAGAAAAGAAAATGTTATACAAGCACTTGTTTTAAGGTAGAAATGCTGTGAATATTAGGAGCTTAATAACTTACATTATTGGTTAGCAGATGCATGAACAGTTATACTATTGGCTATCCAGGAGTGTGTTGCTCTAATCTGATAGTGAAAATATTATAAAAGCTATGTACACTTTTACTAAATGTTTCCTGATTATACCATGACTGGGCACCATGCATCAATCATATGCCAGACCCACATTCAGTGAAATTCTGACAGGTTTACTCAGATTAAACAGAATATAACTGTACCTGAGCTCCTACTGAAGACACAGGTAGTGTGAATAAAATACCAGAATACAGGCAGATTCAAATAAGGCGTCCAGATCTGCAACTTCAGCTCAGATGTTGTGTCTGTAACAGGTAGGATTTTTTTCTGATCAAAGGCACAGAATCAGGCTCCCATTTGTTTTATTTTTATCTTGTTGTCAATAAGGTAATAGAAAAGCTAAAACATTTATTCAGACTTTTCTATTGCTCTTATTTTTGGCATTTCATTATACTATACATAAATTGGTTAGCTATATTATTATAAAATATTTCAAGCAATACTTCATTTAAGGCAATAATGTAAAGTTTGACACTTGTCCTTGCCCATCTTATTACCACTGAAAGAGCATTGTTGCACTGTATTTCTTGATATTCAAAGATATCAAAAGAACTATCAGTGAAGAGTAAAAAAGCAGTAACAGAACACAACTTTGAATCAGCGGCAATAATAAAAATCTTTAGTAATTCAGATAAAACATTTTCTAAAGTAAAACAAAACTGTATAAAACAATATATTTCTGTTATTTTTAGTATTGGAAATACTATATTTATTTTAAGAACTTGTGGCTTAATCAGCATTGAAGGCATGTTGCGAAGTGTTAGAATAAATTCTGTCATTTGGCTCAGCTTTAGGCAATTATACATGTAAATATAATTACTGTGGTATTTTTTTAAACATATTAGTCTCAAGTTTGTGATGAATGAATCTGCAATGTGTTTTCTTGACACCTTTTTGAAGTGAATTAATCCAGTATTAATTTATTTTAGATGTGCCAGAAGCATCATCCTATTACTAATAAGTGGAAATAGACAGCAGGAAATGCAGGTCCCTTCCTAGCATTGCCAGAATGTATCTCTGTGTGTATCCAGCAATCTGGGTGATATGTTGACAGAATGAGGCCAGCGATGCAAATAAAGGAATTCTCCCCCCCCCGCCGCCTCCCCTTGCAGTTTATTGCTTGTCATTGACTAAATCACTGACTAGAATTTCTACAGAAAAATCAAACTTCTAGAGAAGCAGCTTCTATATTAACATTACTATCTAGTGTTTAAATTGTGTATTAGGTGATAAGAGTATTTATGTTTCCAAAATTACAGCTAAGACTGAAGTAGGGTTCTCTAGGTATATAAATTTAAGGCTGGATTCTTAACACACATTAGAGTAGTTTTACTGAAGTTGCTGTAGCGGACTGTCATCAGTGTCACTTTACATTAGTGGATCACATGAATCCAAATGCTCTGTTAAATACCAAATAAATCCTTATTTTTTAAAATGGAAAATTTTTTAAACGATCCCCCAAAAATATCTTTAATTATGCTTGCTAGATGTATTAGGACTTGTTATTTTGTCTTAATAGCTTGCAAATTTTTAATCTGCTTCCCTGACATACTAACAACAGCAGAGACACAAAATATATTTATTTTTGCAAACCATAGCATATGTTTCAGCTATTACAGTTCTCAGATCAGGAAAGCTCAATTTAAGATCAAAATTATTTATTCCATAAAAGAGAAAAGCCAGATTCATTAATAAATGAAAAAATGTCCCAAAAAAAACCCAAAATCAAACCAAAATCAAACACAGAATTTATAGAAAGAGAAATTCAAAGATAGTGGGTGACTGGAAGGAAGGATGCATTTATGTGAAATAAATATTCTGGGTTTTAGTATTAAAGTGAGATAACATAATCCTGTTTCCTTTGATCATAATACACAGATGATCAGGATAGGGAGTCATATAAGCATATACAACTGTACCCAATTCTTATTTGATAAAAAGAATTCATGGACAAAGGACTCAAAGAAGACAGATAACAAGCTTCTGTATTTTCTGACTCATTGTATCCAGTAGATACAGAAAGCCAGATTACTAGATTTTATTCATATTTACTTGAGTAGGTTTATTTTTCTAGCATAGTTACCATCTGTGAAAACCAGTGCTTTGCACAAAAATAATGGGAATCAAGTAAAAAAAGAATAAATGTAACTTCCAAATTTAGTTTGCTGTTACCAATGAAATTCATACTGCAATTTGGCAAAAATCTGTCTTGTGGGTGATTTGAGGGATAAAAAGGCAATTGATCACTCATTTCCACACAGGCACTCTACCAACCAGAGAAAAGATTTTTTTTAGATTGGAGCCTGAACCTCTGTTTGATGGAAGGGGGAAACCTCTCTTCCCAAGCTCCCAAAACTGTTGCAAGCAGACATTTGACTGCTGAAGCAGCCCTGCTTTCTCCAGTCTGGGGCACACAGCTCAGTATGATTCAGCAGGTGCCCATTTAAAGTGACCACAGTTATATTTTATAGGCCATTATTCTCACTCATCCAGAAGTGTAAGACTTGGCTATCCCCATGCCTAATCTTTGTATATTTAATGCAAGTGATGCATATTTTGAACTGTACCCATATAAAATTGAAATCAGGTGGCAAAAAAAAGGTATTTCCTATGAAAACATATTTTCAAGGGAGAGATGAGAGGGAGCAGGGCAAGGCATAAAAGAACTAAATGGGAAATGAATGGTGTTGTAATGGTGCTAAAGATGTAGTAAGTTTTGAATGGAAATATTTAGGACACTGAAACCAAAGTATTTTTGAATTCTTGGATACATTTGAATTTTAAAATTTCACATTCATTATTAAAAAGTGTAGAGGAGTATTTTACACTCTCACACACACAAACAATTTAAAGAAGCTAAAACATAGAGAAAGTTTGTTTTTTTAAAGTATGAGAAGCAGTTTGCTTGAACCGTGTTCTGGTGCACATCCTGTGCATAAGTGGGCCCTACATATATGATCCACTGGCTGGTTTTTCCCCAGCCAAGCTGTACATCTGTTTTATTAATTTTGTTATATGTACACCTTACAAAGAATTTCAATCACATAAAGACTGGTTGTCTGGCAAACACATAGTTAATATGACAAATAATAAGTTAGAGATAGCTCATATATAACTTACCTCTGGCTTCCTATGCCTTCAACAGCATCATATTTCTGCCCAGCTGTAGCTTGTGCCTGTTTTTGTTTTAGACTCAGTGTATTTTGTAAGCTGTGTATGATGCACACATGTAACTACAACATATGCTGTTTATGAGCCCTTAATCTTTCTTCACTTGAGGCATCACTGCCCCCCCACAGTTTGCAGGGTTCCATCTGCATCACTTGTCTTGAATTGTAGATTTGTATCATGGCAGAGTATAGAAAAGGTATCTTCAATCTTCTCGTGACAGCTGCACAGCATTTTTCTAGGCTGACAGTCGTCAAATCAACAATAAACCTGCTGCATCTAGTGCTGCTGATTTTCCATAAGGCATTTTAAAATGCCCAACATTTAGTGAGGACAGTTGTTACTTTCCATCCAATTTAACAGAGTATCACTGCAGAATTTCACCCAAAGCTAGGCATAATATATTCCACCTGTCCTACAGCACTGTAGGACTCTCCGATAAAGTCAACTACAATGTTTTGAAAATGTATATTCATGTATATTCCTAATAGCCTAATGATCACAAAATTCATTCAGACATGTAGAAGACCTAACTAAATCCCTGAAACAGCATCTTAGTCCTGTGCACCAGTCCAGTTATAATTTTCATTTGTAACTGTGCCATATTGCATTAACAAATATTTCACAGAAGAGGGCCTTAAATTCTGTTTTTATCCTAGTTGCCCTTATTTTTTCCTATGGCAGGTTTGGCTGGTACATCCCTAACAAAGTTTGTGGTGGTTCAAAAAGAAAACCTTATCCAGTCTGAGTAGCAAAAGGAATGGCTCCTCAATTACCTGGGCTTCCCTTTAATTAGTGCCACTTGATTTAAATCTGAAAGGCAGTGATTTAGAGTGTTTAGTCAACATTCATCAGAATAGGAAAAACTGGAACATGGTTGTATTATGTAATGAAGAGAGAGAAAATACTGAGACTGTTTAGCTGTTATCTGTCCCAATATCAAAGTGGTTTTTACTGAGAACTGTAGCAAATTGAAGTAATATTAATTCTAGCATAATAACTCTCTATTTTTATTGCAGGGTGACCCAAACCACCATTTTCTCTCAGAGGAAACAATATAATACTAAAGAAATGAGAGAAAAACTGTACTCCTGGTTGAGAGTTTACATGAAGGTATTTTTTTAAACAAGTAATGAGAGGTTTTTGTAATGGCACTGAAAGAATATGCAATGTGAATGGTAAAATTATATTGAATCAGAAAACAGACCTCACAGTACTTGTTACATGGGCTAATACAGGACAGTCTACATTTTTCATCACATCTATATTCACAGAAAACTATTATTTTTATCAGTCTGTTTCAATCTGTTGTATTTCCCTTAAGTAGCAGATTCACCTTCAAGGACTAATTTATACATTGCAGTTTATTTAGTTAGTATCTTGGTTTCCAAGGTGTTTTCAGGAATTGTGGTAAGCTCATGTCACTGTTAATTAACCTTAAAGGCAAGACAATACAATTCCTCTGTAATCACAGAATGACACTACAGAGTCTTTTTAGCCACTGTTGGTTCTAACTTTTAAATTAGTTTTAGAAAATTGCAAAACAATGTATGAAGTTGCATTGAAACTTGAAATAATCAAAGTGGAAACTATTTGGACAGTAACTAAATACTGTTCATTAACTGCTGGTAATGACTAATGTGCTAGGCAAATAATTACTGATTTTATTCACAATGTGTCTGCATACTTACGACAAAATTCAAGCTTTTGAAGGAAATGAAGACCAAATCCACAAGTACAGAAAATAATAATCTACAATAGTATAATACTTAAAGAATTTTAAAATTCCTTTCTCATAAGGGAAAAGTTATTGTGCAATTCTTACTATGAATCAAAGATTTGGGAGAATATTCTTTCTCTTTTTCTTCTTTATTTTTTTAGTTAAATTGTGTAAGTAAATTGATAAATCATATTTGTGGTTTTGACCACATAGATTAAACAAGAAATTATAGGGATTATAAAAGTATTATTTTTTTTTCTCCAACTCATAAAAACATCTGAATTGACAAAAGCAATAAGAAGTCAAATTTTACAGAAACAATTTATTTTGAAAATTTCTTTTGATGTGTACGAAGACCAAAAACTCCTTGTGTGGATAAGCTTCCGCAGAGTAGTCAATCTGATTGGTCTTCAATAGATAATCTCTATAGGAGTATCAGTTTTGTATCAAGAGGATCATAAAAGAGCTGATGTGGAGCAGCATGCAATGATGTGTGTGCCCTCTGTAAAGTTTTCCACATTAAAAAAATGTCTCTGTTTTAACAATTATCCTTTAGGAGGACTCTAAATGCCAAGTTTTCAAGGCTAAGTTGTGAAAGACCAGAAGCCAGGGACCAAGGCTTTTGAGCACCTGGATACAAGGGATATAATGGAAAAATCCAAGCCTTTTCCTGGTAAAAGAATGGGTTAGAGTGCAATGGAGGAACTTCCTAATTTCTTTCTCATTAGTTAAGTACTAGGAGTTTTGGGGACAAAATCCTAGCTTTTAAGTTTCCCAGTAATTTCCTTTATGTACTATATGTACTATAGATAATATATATAGTGAAAGCTTTGTATTTCTGGAATGCAAAACAACATCAAAAGCTGGTCAAACCATCATAAATTCTGCAGTAATCTTGACATGTAATTATATCATCTGTTCCAGATGCTCCCAAAAATCTTTGAAACAACTGCATGACTCCTTCAAGTGACCTTCCCACATGAAATTTATTTTTGTATACAACACTTGAGTATCAGATAAAGAGATGATAATTTCTTTTAGCAAAAAGTAATTTCTGGTTTACTATCAATTGTGTAAATTCATGAGATATATGTAATTTTTTAAACTGTGAACTGTCTTGTTAATAACATCTGCATACTGATTGTAAGTCTTCAGGTCTTCCCAAAAAATTGACTATTTTTGAATTCCAAGTGTCAAAAACTGAGTACTTTTATTTTACTATTACTCAAATATGGCTCAATGGCTTCTATATGAAATTGATATGATTCCCTTCCTGGGCATGAGGAAGGTTTTCTTAAAGACTGTAAGAATGGAAAAGGTCAGGATGGCATGAGAGAGTATTTTTCAGACCACAAAATGAAAAACTGATTGAAAGTTTGCAATGTAAAGATACAGTCTAACCTCTATTTTGCAGAGGTGAGCAAGCATGCTTTTTGACCAATCAGCAAAACAAAATTTCTGATGAGAATCTTGGTTTACATAAAAAAAAACACACCAAACTAAACCAACCCCTCACCCAGATTATATGAATATATTTATTAATGCTTAATATACTTCTCATTATATTAAACTCTAAAATAATATTAAACTCTAAAATAATATTAAACTCTAAAATAATATTAGATATTTTAGAGTAAACTCTAAAATAATATTAAATTAATTCCATGGACTCTGTACTTCCCCAAAATGCTGAACAGGAATGAGGAGTGATAACAAATCAAATAGATATATGCATCACTAATCCATACAGCTCAGCTCTCCTTGAAATGTAAATTCCAGAAAGGAACTTGCATTTTCAAAGATGCATATAGCTTCTGCTAACTGGTGCTCCTGCATTCAGCTCATTTAAAGATTAGCTGTAAACTTCAGAGGAGAAAGACTTGATTCCTGCAAGCATAAATTTAGAAAGACATTAGAATTTTCCACCTTTCTTTTTCTTGGAAGACTATGAAATTTAATGTGGCATATTGACATATGAGTTTTTCAGTTATTGGCATCTACCTGAAACTTTTATTAAAGTATACATTGTTTTCAAATTTGCATCTTGTAATAAAAAAAAATAAAAAAGGAAAAATAGATTTTCAGAATGTATAAGAAACAGAAATTAATATATTTTTGTCCTATATAAGAAGCATTTATACTTCTCCCTTTGATAATGTATTTCTGAAATTGGAAGGAGTTTTATCACTAAGATTGCATTGGCCAGAAAGAACCAGCCATGTTAGACAATACTGGGAATCTGGATTTGGATGTTCTGTTATCAGACTAAAGTGCTGTGAGTTCTAAAGAGTAGAAAGATCTATTCTGATAGAGAATCACACTGTAAATTCAGAGTTCAGACATTTTCTGGTTTAGCTTTTTACTTGAGAAAAGACAAAGACAATACTGTTAGACTGCAAAACTGTAATTATTACAGTTTAGCTATCCAATGTCCTTGTGGAGATGGTAAAAGACCAGCATAAACACTCTGTTCTTTGACTAATTTGAAACAAATATTTTCGTATTTCCACAAATTCTTATTTGATGTTATATTTCTTAGTGCCTATATCTGATCAATATCAATGATTAAGAAGCCACAATCTCAGAAAAGTAGAAGTAAAAGAAAATTTGCACCATCTACAGAAATAAGGGATGTAGTAAATATACTTCAGAAAGATAATTTCAGAGATTAATTATGTGCTAATGAAAATAATTTGCTTTCATATTTTCTCTCATACAAGTAGTAGAAGAGCTAAAGAATAAGATTAATTATATTATTTTTAACATTCTACATTTTTTGACAGAATATTTGATGAAAGCTGTTTCCACATAATCTGATTCCATCCAGCTTCAGAGGAATACTGCTACCTGCCTAAGCAGTCCACTCATAAAGTATTAAAAGCCTAAAACTCGGCCCTGTAACACATACCTTTTAGCCTGGAAAGTGGAAGAATCTCACAGTAGGAACATGCACTCCTTTAGGCTGAGCAGTGACTTAGGTAGAAGGCCACAGATGCAGGACCCTTGCCAGGGCTGGGTTTGATGCTCAGAGTTGATTTTCTTCTTTGGTATTGATATATAATAAAATGTTTACATGAAAAAGCAGAAAAATCAGCACAATACTGTTAAAAAAATTGAAAATAAATCCTGATGCAGGGCTAGAAATGGTTGTGGTTCTTACAAATAACCTGAGTATGTCATTCTGAACACTGTGTCTGAGATATGTGACATAACAAGAGGTTTTTTTAATGTTGAGACTATCCTGTGGTCTGCACCAAGAAATGGCAAAATAAAACTACACCATGCTTCAGGGGGCAAGCAAATAATATTTTTTTTTAACAAGAACTGTTGTGCCAATGGAGATATATAAACCAAAGGCAGGAGAACAATAGAATAACTAGCCACAGAGTACAAACATAATTCATATGGTAGCACTGAGAGCCTTTCCATTCAAGAGCAAAGTGACATAATTTATGCAATCAAATATTTGTACAGTTGCTCAATTGTTAATAACATTTTGGCATTGATTTTTATTTTAGTGTATAGAGTATCAGTGTTCCTGGGATATTTTAATTTCTATACATTCAGAACTCTCACTTTAACCTTCTTCAGTTTATATTCTTACTTTGCAGATTCTTTTGCAAACCCAAGATAGTAAGAATGTAGTTTAATACTCATGTTATACAGACAGGTGGCTTCTAGCTCACCTATTCAGAATTACAGGTGAAATAGATTCCCTCTATTATTAATTAAGTACTTCAGCATATTGAAGATGATGATTTATTTATTAGAGCTACTATTATGCCCCTATTTTAACATACAATTTAAACTTATTTTATGAAAAATTCTATAAATCAACACCACTATCATGTGGGATATAAAAAATACTAACAACAAAAAATACAGAACAGTTAGAATAATACTATTTCCAATATTTACATTTTTAGAAGTTAGATGCATTTTTCCAAAACAGCAAAAATCTTGTAGAGATACACCTTTGCTAATATATTTGCATGTGAAAGTTAATGTATTTGCATGTGAGAGAAAGAAGATCAGCATATGACTCCCAGTAATCATACAAATACATAAAACTTATTTTTCCCAACAGAAACAGTACCCTTTCAATGAATCAACAGAAGTGTTATTCTAATGAAGCATATAACCAGTGTGTTAATTCTCATAACACAAGTCTTTACAGTTTAGAAAGGTCTGTCTGAAAGTTTATCTCAGGCTCTTTTTAAGAAAGATTGACCCCAAATGTGTTAATGCCAGTCAAAGGAATGATTAACCATCCTGTAAAATTTTGCATTGTGCTCTCTGAAATAAGAATACAGTTGCTCTAAAACAGTGCTGTTAACAAGGGGATGGGGACGCCCTTTGGATTCATGTAAACATCTCTCCCTCCCATCACTTCTGATGCAGTAGAATCCCTTGGTTTGGTTAAAATAAAAATTAGAAGACATAATTCGGGATGGAAGATTTAGAAATCTTTCAACTTTTTGTAATTCAGGAAGAGGGTCCTTGATCAAAGTATTGCCATCCACTATGTGAATCTGATCCAAACTGAAATGCTTAAGCCACTTTTCCATATGGACATCATATAGACTTCTCTGAATAGCTTTGTATTTGGTATTAAGCACTCCATTCTTAATAACAATATCTTCAAAGAGCTGAACAGGCTTGTGGCTTTCCACTCTGTTGTAATATACTTGGGTATAGTCAGATATAACTCTCTCAGTGGGATCTCTTAGAATGAGCAGCAGTTTAATGGAGCTATTCATGTCATGAATTCTTCCTGGAGCCTGTGGTGATGTAAAATAGCCTGGTGTTTTCTCAATTGTAATTTGATTTCCATAAGAAAATGGCATCAGATTTCTATACCAGTCTATTCCTTTCACATAATTTTCATCCCAGTCAAAGAAGTGGACTTCTGTAGCTGCCACCACAATGTTAGGATGAATATCCAACATTTCCAGCAAAGCTCTGGTCCCTCCTTTACGAACTCCTATGATGATTGTCTGAGGTATTTGTCGGCTCGTGCCAGGAGGTCTCACCTGTGCTGAATAGTGTTCACTTGTATTGCTGAATAATCCCACTTGTGACTTCAGTGTTTCCAACAGAGCCCCATTCTCAGCAGGAGCACCCCGAGCATGGGTCAGCAGAAGATAAGCTGACACGAGTAGGAAGGCCATGTGGAGAGGAATAATTATTTCAAGATAATGTTTTGCTCAATTAATGAAAGAATAGGTGAGTCCCCTCTTGAGATGGTTGGCAGAACCCCTGGTAAACACACAGCAAGCTTCTGAAGCATCTGCAAAACAAAATTAGAGAAATAAGTGATTCTAAACTCATCATCAGTTAAAAAATTCAACTCACAATTTAATTCACAAAGCTAATCTGTAATCCCAAAATGAAATTTATAGGGAAGTTGTTTCCCCTGACTTTATTTTAGAAGGACAGAAAAGTCCCATGTGTTGGGGCTTTTTTCTCCTTACCAAAAGTGACCAGTAATGGATACTAACCTTTCAACAGCTTTTATTTTGCCTAAGCAGATTGGAATTGTTTACCTGATCTTAAATCCTGCTTGCTTTGGTTTTCCTAATTATCTTCATATATACCACACACTTCTCTTGTTATAAATACCATACCCCATATGATAACAATAACTCCAAACAATAATTCTAAAGAATATTTGAATGTCAGCATCTTTCCTCAATTTTCCTGCTAGAATAGTATATTCTTACATAAATAACAGACTTGGATGATGGTGCAGCTATCTGAGTTTTAGTGAGCTATGAATCTTACAAAAATAATTCTGTTTACTTAGACACAAAAAATGAAAACACAGATACAGGCCAAGTTTTGAAAACTGAGCCCCTTGGAGCAGAAAACCAACTGTGTCAAAACAAAAGTAAAGTGGCTAAGTGGGATCAGTGTGGGAAAAATAAATGATGCAGGGATGGATTCTCTGTGACTATCCAAGTGTATGTTGTCCAGTCATATAAGTGTTGGAAAAGTCTTTGCAAAATCAGCTCTTCAGATAATATTCTACAGTTCCTCAAAAGCTCCATATAAGATATAACCAATAACCAGAAGCTTTCTGGTCACTGCGAGATTTCTGCAGGGAGGTAAGTCTGCTTGAGGCTGAATAGCTTCTTCTACTTAATCCACATTGCATATGGTCATTTTAAGAAGTGGTGAATATTAAGTATCTTCAAAATTTGCAAAAACTTTAGGCTTGCAGATATGTGCATGTGCAGATGTAAGTGAAAGAAAACATCTATATAATTGTTTTACTAACATTTGAAATTTCCTGGGTAACTGTTATACATAATATTTGAAACAGATTGCTTACAGATCTGCCATTGCACCAAGTCATAAAAAGTTCAGATCAATGCAACACCTGCACTTGAACCACTGTGCTTGGATTCCATGTTTTTAACTCTGAAATTCCCACAAGACTAATTCCTATTGAGAGGACTCTCGAGTTTCACTCAATTTCTCAGCAATTACAGGATTTTAAGATTTGTGGAATATATCTACATTCTTGTTTTGTTTTTAATATAGAATGCAGAAGCAAGGGGGTTTCTTTTCTACAGTGAAGCAGCAGTCATTTAATAAACAATAAACATTTTTGGAATAATTTTGAATTACGACTCATATTTTAAAGTTACAACCTTATTTTAATGTTACAACCTTAGTTCCTTCTTCAGTGTTCACTGTCTCTTTCTTTTTCTGAACATATTGGTCACAGTATTTCATCTCTTAGAAGCAACCATAGAAAGCACAGACAATTCCCATTTGTTATGGCACTGGGGAGTATTCAATATTTCTACTTTAAAATTGTTTACTTTCAGTCTTCCTTTAAAGGCTTAAAGATTTAAAATTTTTGATAATAACAGTCTAGGCAATGCAGCAGATTCATTAAATCTATTTTCTAAATGTTACTGAAACCTTCTCCAGCTTCTTGGATATCTAGGGAATGATTGTAGTCAGCCTCAATGAGCACTAAATTCACAGTTATATAGCAAATATTAACCCTAAAATTGTCATTTAAAAAATAAACTATGACCTTTAGTGAAGAAATCTGTAGAGAATATTTCCTGTTATGTCCAAGCAAGACTTAAAGGGCAACTTCTTCTTCAAAGAGAGCAGTTTCAACTAGGAACAGTGAGTATACAATTACTAAATATTAGAAAAGTCTAAGTACAAATTTGCTTTGTAATGACAGACTGAAATGCTGTTCTTTAAGAACTTGAAAGGAGGTTTCATTTTAAAGATCACAATTTTTTCACTAGGAACTTCACTCAGAAGTCTGTTTGAAGTTCCCAAGAGCAAAGAATGCAAGAATTCCTATGGCAGTCACAGGAGGGAAGAATAGGTATGTTTATACCAAAATCATTTATAGTTACTATTCCTTTGGATGGCAAACTTGGGAAGTGGTAACCATGCTGTTCAGTGCTACTGAGGGGCTAAAATGCAATAATGGCAGCTAATGTTGTTTTGGAAAGATCCTTAGGATGCACAGCACGAAATCTGAAGCATCGTGCCCCAGATGATTCCTGGAGTGCCAGCTTTCAAAGAAGGGACTCTGCCTTAGGAATTTCAAGCCAAATTTGTCACAATTCACAAGGTTCCTGAATAGTTCAATCTGAGGAAAAGCACAGCTATGCATAACATGGATTCAGAACTAGCAACATATGACAGTATGGCATCTTTCCAGAGCTGTGATGCCAGCAGGCTGGGATTTGGGAGCGGGGGCCAAGGGAACAGTTAATCATTCTTTTAACCTGTTCTGAAATCCCAGTGTTAGTTTGCATTCTATTCATCTTCATTGTTAAATTAACATTCTTCCAGGAAGACTGAGGAATTGTTTTTACAAAAATCTTTACATCTTTACATCTTTCATGATAATACAGCGTTTTACACATTATGAATGCACTTACACCTCTGTACATTATATTACAATACTTTGAACTAAGGGAAGACCTCCCTGAATGTCTGCCAAGCAAGGGATCACTTATAAATACCAAGGTGGAGACATACAGTTCATTATCTGATTTAAATTCTGGAACTATCCCATTTTGAAACAGTTTCCTGAACCGATTCTAGACAGGTATTATAGGCAATTTTATTTAACTTGAAAGAAAAGTATGTTTAGATTTTTTGAGATTAGTATTCTTGAGACTAACTAGGTTAATATCTTAAATTGAAAAAATAGAAATGAAGAGGGGAAAAAGCAGGAATTTCTCTGAAATAATCTAAAACCAAAGTAAAAAAGAAACAAGTATTTCATACTGGGACTCTTCACTAGTGTCGACAGAGATGTGCTCTTCCTAGGTCTGGTGACAGGTGAAAAAATTCTCACATTCACTTTTTAATTTTGTTTAAAAAATTCAAACACACAAATGCTATTTCATCCCTGAGTTTTCTAGTTTCATACACCTAAGAATCAGGTGCAAATATTGAAACCCAAAAAAGTCTGTAAGCTGAATGAGAAAATAATGCTTATCACTGGGGAAAGATTGGTCTTCCAAAATATTCTCAGGTTCACTTCTGATGTGAGTGAGAGTCTGCTTAATTTACCATCTGAAATCAGCAGGTCTTTGTAAAACATATTGAGATAGCAAGTAGCAAAGCTATTCTGCATATTCTGTGGATTGAAGTATTGTTTGAAAAAATAATTAACATAACTATTAACCATTTTAACCAGTTTCCCAATTAATTAGTTGTTTTAAAATTCTTAGAATCATTGCTAGGGAAAACCTTACTCAGAAAATACTACAGAAAAAATCAAATTCAAAATGTGCTGTAAACCTGGTTCCTAAATGGATCAAAATTGCCTTTGGGAGCAATTCTATCAGAGCAACATTCAGCTTTGGCCTAAGATATTTGATTGATTTCAGTGAAGCTCTAAGATGTTAGATCCTGTGGTTAGGTTATAATTGCTACATAAATGTAAAGGTTTTAAAGAAAATTTATCATATATAACTGGAATGTTATTTGAATAATTTTGGTGTTGCTTTTATGCCTTTATGCAACTACATTTTTAGCAGATATTAACTGCTTTTTATAATGAAAACAATATATTTTACATTGGTGCACTGCACCAATGAAGAATCTGAAAGTATTCTTATAAAAAAACCCCATGACACATGATCAGAATTACAGTGCCTTATTACCATTTTCCCCTATTATTTGTCAGTGTTGGTGGTGTTTAGTCACCAACAGATATGATACTTATTAAGCAGAAATGTAGTTCAGAAATAAATTCATGCTGCAGAAAGGACTAATTAAGTAAATAGTACCTTGGGCTGCTGCTTCTTTTATTTTTTTAAAACCTAGACTAGACTTGAGAAGCTGCAGTGCTGGCTGAAAAATCATTTTAATATTACAGAAATGTACTAAAGACCCTTAACTGCTGCACTCTACTCTGAAAACACTTGCAAGCATCTTGCGATTTATCTTGCTTTGGGGTAAAGTACAAAATCATAGGGTAAACCTAAATATATTATTACTAATTTATAACATTATTAGCTCCTAATAATACTTCCTGTATTACAGTGCCTGTAATGTTTTTCACTGGAGAATTCTGCAGCACTCTGTGTTAATGAACTGCCTGCACCTTATTAAGGCACCATTGGCACCTTACAGGAAATTGCAAGAGACCAATGTATAGATCCAGTTCAGGAGTGCAAATGCCTTGGAAAGTCAGGTTAATCTGATCTGCTCAAGGTCACATAGCAGGTTTATAGTCCAACCAAGAATAAAACCCCCAGGGCTTCTAATTCTCCATCCAATTCCCCTTCCAATTCCAACTTTGTGCCATTTCATAGCAGCCTCTCAAAACCCTTATGATAACTTATAGCTGGATTACATGCTGAATTGAAAAGCAAAGAGATCCTCAATGTTTCAATTTTTTAAAATAAAGCTCGCTCCTTACAAAAAATAAAAAGGAATCAAGTACTAACTACAAACTCAGAATTTTGTTGTTTTCGAAGCATATGTGCAGAAATACTTCTGTTGGTGGCTGAAAATTGCAGCAAGAGGAGGTGGTCTAAGCAAATATAACAAAACACCCACTTTTGTCTTGATACTGCTTTTCCTGTTAATTCCTATTAGATATGAACTTATTGCAACAAAAAGATCAATCACTGAGAAAAGTACAATGCAAACATGTTAAGGCTTACTGGCACACAAACTTGAAACTACTCAATTATATCTCTATTATTAAGAACATCTCTAATGCTGACAATATAAAAAACCAATTCCAGCCTAACTGTATTCACGGCCAAAGGTCATATAAGGTGA